AGAACATTCTGTCCGTTCCGCACGTATTTTTTTTTCCTTACATTTTTAATCCCCGCCATGCCAAGAACACGTGAGAAGGTGGTAAGTGAGGGGAGCAGTGACTTCGCTTGGAACCGACCTGGGGTGACCCTGGCATCTTAGATTCCTCTTCCTCTCAGGAGGCCTGCTCCTCTCCCGCTCTCCCACCTGAAGGTCACATTGTATTGCTTTAAACCCCCTTTGTCCTCACATTCCCTACCCCTCCTTTGGTTTATCTCGGTGCTGACCCGAGTCGTTTGCTACCTCGCTTTTTCTCACAAGTTCCCATATAAACGAAGATCACTAACTCCTGAAAGATAAGCCGGGACACTCGGCTCCCGAAACAGAGAAGGGAGGGAAGGTGGAGGCGGCGGCTCTGGCACGGCAGGGCACCGAGGCCGCTGCCTTACAGTAACCCCGGAATAAGGAGCTGAAGTCTGACTGCCGGCGCGAGGACGCGCGCCAGCGCTGGCCGGGAACCTAAGCACCGCGACTGGACCAGGGGCAGGGAAGACGGCTATATATTACCAATATTCGCAGCACCGGTACCTGGAGCTTGCTGGTGCTGTCTGCTGTGGCTGCCCTGCGGTGACCCCTTGCTGCCAAGGGCTCTGCTGCTTTAGAGCTGACACACTCCAAATTACCAGCTGTCAAACCAGGAATAGCATGCGAAGCGCTTTTCCCTTGGTCTTGGAAAGGGGTTTGTTTTGCAGGCACAGCCTCCTTATTTGCCCTAGTATGATCTTTAGTCTCAACAGCTTTTGGTTTGATCAGCTGGGACAGTCAGAAACTGGGAGGAAACTAGCATTCCCTCTCCCAGAAACTGTGGTTAGCAAATTTTGTTCTGCACCCACTTTTCAATGAAAGCATTTAGTATTGTCTGAAATTTGATCCTCCAACCCAAAGCAAGGTGAATTCAATTGCAAATCAGGTTAACTGATCCAAGACTACTTCCCCATGCATGGATTCTTAAGAGCATATAACTTTGTTATAGGCAGCACCCCCTGTTGCAGGTCTCACCCCCCAGGGCTCATCCCAGCCCTGCTCAGACCCACCTTGTTCCTAATCCTCTTGAGCAGAGATTCCTGAGATCACCCAGAAACACTAACCTTCACAAAGTTATTTGCTTATTTAAAACTTTAAGAAAACTTCCATCAGAGAGCCTCCCCCACACACTGCCTCATGTACTTTCCCTATGCCAAGTAACCCCAAATCCTTAAAGCATCTGTTTTACCCACCCCATTATAGTTCTCAAAGAACAAACCTTTCCAAGGGGACTTAATAACCTCCTCTTTCATTCTTCGAGTTGCACAGAATATGAAGGCTCTGGATTCTTTTCTGGAGGCTACAGAAGTCAGTTATGACTGGAGTAGCCTCCCAGCTATGTGCCTGTGATAAGACTGGAAGCTCTGAGATGACAAGGGAGCATCAGACACAGGCAGCTGTTCTTGTTGTTATGAACCCCCACTTTATATAAAGGGAATTTACATACAGGAAGGGAACAAGCTGCAAAGTTCAACACTGGGCCATTTATTCCCACTCCCCCTCCTTGCAACACCATCCAGAAGATTACAGTCATCAGCGTCCTAGGTTTATTACACCTCCAGCAATACACACAAGAAATGTAACTTAACTGATTATCATCACAAATCAGTCCAGAAAAATTCAAAACACATGCACAGGATTCATTTTCTCAAAGAAGCTCTGTTGCATGCATTCCAGGATGGATGTGGAATTCAAGTTAGAGGACTCTAAGTGGATAGAGAAGAGGCACAACCATATATTTGTGGTTGGAACAGAAAAGGAACAGTCTGATGTGCTCCTTCCTCCCCCTACCCTAATGTTCAGCTCTTGGAGACGGATGGTCTGCTAAACTTATCATTTAGCAGAGAGAATCAAGTTGTTGAGACTGGCTTTTCTTCCAACCGGATACCTGATGGGTGGAGCAGGCGCCCCCTGTTCTGTCCCAGCAACCTACTAAGACTTCCGAACAGGAAGGTGACACACGGCGGTGGTGGGGAGGGGAAGCGGGAGAACTGTGTGTGACGCGCCCGTTAACACTGCACAGGCTTTAGGTTGCCCTGTGGCCGCTATTCTGGCGCTTGATCTGTTCTTCCTTCCTGTCGCCAGCCTCTTTCTTTGGTCCAGATAGTCCTCCTACCGGGAGAGATCTGGCCCCTTCTCTGTTCCTCCCTGGTAGCGAAGTTGCCGGAGTCGCCTTACACTGCTGATTAATGCAACCTAGAGGGCGATCGTGTTCTCTGGGAGAACCACTTCAGATTCCAAGAATCCCCCCATTTGTCTCCGGATGTTTAATCAGTCCCAGAAAGTTTCTCCACAATGTCTTGTGCAGCCACAGAAAATACAGATGTCTTGATAGGAGACCTGCTAATTACCTCCCCAGTGCCCCCAAGCCAATCGTATCACATTTATGCCTCAGTGCGGGGGAAACCTGCAATCAAAACTCTAAAGGAAATGATGCACCAAGATATAAACTTTGCACTGAAACAAAACATTTTTCAGGGCATGTGTACTTTAATACTTCAGAAGATTGTTTCATTGCTTCTTTCCATTATTTCTCCTTAAGAATAGACTATAAAACCTTTACTAAAATATCTTTTTCCCCATTTAATTGAAAGGCTCACCAATTACTATTACAACACATTAGAGGAAATACTCTGAAATATATTATTATAAGGATTCAGCTATACCTCCCTTGCACTATTTCTTAAGTGCTCTGTTAGTCTTGATTGTTCATTGATAATAGGGTAATATAATTGTTTTATATTGCTCAAAGTGCCACAAATCCTAGAACAATCCTATGCACAGTTTACGCTCCCATATTTTTTTCTTCATTGGGTGATGCATATAGAAACCTTTCCCTAGAGCATCCTCAAAGAAACTACAGAGAAATACCAGAAAACATAATAATTACTCTAGAGAACAAGTGAATGGATTAGGTTTTGTTGAGGCTGTCACTAAATGCATGTGTTTTTAAATAGTATTCACTGAACAGAAAATGATGATGACAAATGGTTTATTCATGACAGCTATTATGGACAAGTTACCAGCAATGGTGGTATTTAAATGTCTATTTACAGAACACAGGTTCTATAGAGATTATTACCTTCCCTATTCATGACTGTCAAAATTGACATACATGAAGAAGAATGCAATATAGTAAGATAACTAAGAGAAGACTTTTTCTTCTTTTTTCTTTTGGCACGGGGGATTGAACCCAGCACTCTGCCACTGAGCTACATCCCTAGCCCTGCGATTTTTTGTTTGTTTGTTTGTTTGTTTGTTTGTTTTTGATACTGGGGATTGAACCTAGGCACACTCTATCACTGAGCTACAACCCCAGTCCTTTTATTATTTTTACAAAGCTGCTGAGAGTCTCAGATAAGTTGCTGAGCTCTTGACAAGGAAGAATGATAGACAGAAGCAGTGGGTCTATGACAGGCTGAAAACTCACTTTCTTTCCATCTTTGGAATGTTGCCAATGTCTGATTTAGCACAATCCAATCCAATGAAAGACAAAAATAAAATAAAATAAAATAAAAGCCCATCAACTAGAATACTATATGAAGGGGAAGGAATTGTACATATTTCACAGCTTTGTATTTGGTTGTTAGGATTTACCTGGAAAATGATGTCTGGGAACATTCTACAGAATTATGAAAAATAATACAATGGTCTGGACAGAAGAGAAATGTGGAAAAATCTTTAAGTCAAAATTCAATGCTCTCTATGAATTTTCTTTTCTTTCTTTTTTTTCTCCTGGAACTGGGAATTGAATTCATGGGTGCTCTACCACTGAGCTACACCCCAAACCCTTTTTATTTTTTTGAGACTGGGTCTCACTAAGTAGCTGAGGCTGGCTTCCAATTCAGAATCCTCCTGCCTCAGTTTCCCAAGTAGCTTGGGAGTAGAGGAATGAGTCACTGCACCCAGCCTGTGATTTTCTAGACTCAAAAGGACTGTGGCCTTACTGAAAGCCTTCTGTACTATAGATACGGCTTTTAAAAGGCAATTTGTCAACTCACAAAATTAATTTGTCATGATAAAAAATGTCAAGCACCGTGTCAAGGGGCAGGTCAGAGAATACTGGTGTTAGTAGCCTCCCCATTCTCTCTGGCCTGCTCTGCCTCCTGTCCCTTTCCCAGGTCCAAGGTACATCCACTTCCCTACAAGCCCTGCAATCAAGGCCAGAGGCCAGGCAGCACAGGACTTGGAATTTCTTTACAGGCTGAACCATTCTTGAGACACACATATTAAAATCAGAACTGGCAATGGGGTATAAAGGACTCTTTTTCACTCCTAGTTTATTTACAAAGTGCCAGTAGTAAATAAGGCATCTGGATTTCTGGCGGACATCTTTTGTCAAACTTGAAAGCTTTAATTTGCTCAGTTTAAGCATCTCCTCAAAGTCTCTCTTGTTTCTGACCCTATAATCAATCTAGGAAGAAGTAACAGAAGTTCAGGACACTCTTAAAAACTGTTTCCTGTAAACCCTGCCTACAAATTGTAGGAACAAATGGTATACGTAATAGTAACCAGCAATAGAAAAAAAAAGAGGCAGGCATGGCTAGCTGACCGATTGGCGTCATTTTAAAAGACATCAGCTTACTGAGCTAACTTTTGGTTTCAACCCTGAATATAAGCTCCATACCTTTGTATGTCAATTTCAGGAAACTTGGGAGTGTCAGTGTCATGCTTATGGAAGGAATCCTTACGATCTACTTTACTTGGCTGTAACTGAGGCCTCCTTCTTGCAAGAATTAGGCAGGGTGTTCCATGTATTTTAACTTTACCCTCTGTATAGTGAGGACACTATTACTTCCCTCACATAAATTGTGAAAAATAATGGAAATAAAGAACTTGGTTTCTTTGGAGTTGGAATCTCACATAAAAAATATGCATCTGTATTTGCTACCCTCACTGTACACACATTGCAACTACAAACAGAACACCTCATACAATAGAAAGGTTTCCAATAAGTCAAAATAATTCATGAGTTTGCTGTGATTAAAGGCCACTTAATCTACTAGGCCAAAGGTAGGAATTCCATGGAAAAGGACCTAAAAGATTATACACTTTGTTCTTTAACTCCCCCCTTAGCCACTGTCTCCACCCTTGAATGGGCTCCATCAAATAACTAAATGCCGTGATAACCAAATAAATATTTATTTACCCCAAGTGTTTGAAGTAAAACCAGCAGTTCTGGGTAAAAAAGCCAAAAGCTAACTCTAAGAGGTTTTTAATTGTTCAGGGTAGGTAGGAAACAATAGAAGGTAAATATGGGCCTATTGAGAGGGTGGAGTCTCAAAGAAGGTCAAAGAGGACCAGTAGAGCCTAAGATGCTTTTCTAGGTCATCGGCTTATCTTCCAGGAAAGAGAAGAGGAGCAAGCTCCCACTGATCCTGTTATTTTTAATCTTTCAGATCTCTGCAGCGCCTGCCTTTTGTGGCCAATGCTGCCAAGCCCTGGGTTTAGCAAGGATGATAGGATGGGTGGCATACAGCACACAAGGAGAGCAACAGTCTATATTTTATTAAAATGAACCGTGCATTCCACAAAGCAAAGATAAGTTTACAGAGATTGCTCTCTTTCCTAAGGCCTACCTACTACACCTCCAAGCCATAAAAACAAAATCTTGGGCATACTTGACCATTTAGAATATTACTTTTTCAAGTGAAGAATGAGCTAAAAGTTCTGCAGCTCATGTCACATGATTCTGTGATATCAGGGGAAAAAACAAATGCAAAAGAAAGTTCTGGAGGCCCAGAACCACCTCACATGGCTTCCGGAATAATCCCCACACTCAGCTAATCCTTTAGAACATGTGCCTTCTACACCTACTCCCCGGCCTGCCTGCCTGCCTGTCACTGCAGCCTTTAGGTGGGAAATTTGTGTTCTTAACTATTTACATCTCTGGCTCATCTTTGCACCTTGGGTTCCTTGAAGACCAAACAGCACAATTCATATTTTTCACCCACCTAATAATGTTCTCTAGTCACCTCCCTGCTGGCCTCTCCACCCTCTTCTCTTATCCTCCTGCTTTCTATCCAGGTTGCTCTCTCTGTGTCCTTTTGCAGCTCCTTATTTGTAACTCTATGAAAATCGAGAACTGCACCAGTTTATCAAGTAAAAGTTCAAAGACAAGTTACTATGCTGCCGTATTATTCCTCTCATCTATTTAAATACAGTAGGTAAAAGTATGAAGGACATTGTCTTAGTACCAGACAGAATTTTGATTTTCACACAGCACTACCCCCACATGCAATGTGAAATTGCCACACTCCCAGGATGCCTGGATAGGGCACATTAGTTCTTCTGATGACCAGAAAGCCCTGAGAGAATGTGGCATCTTCATACCAGTCTTTTTAGGAAGTGTCTATTGTACTCTTAGAATTGCAGGAGATTTGCCAAGCATTCCTTTTGCCATGCCTC